TTCTGCATGGTTGATATGTCCCTCAATATGCTAAAGAATTATTGTCTGAGTTTTAGTCTGAAATTTGACTGATTTTCATTATGGAATCTGGAGTACTGTTTAGTTTTTTTTTTTTTAATCCTACGATAAGTATGACCTCCTAAATCAATGAATTAAATGTTTCATTCTCTAGAGATAAGATCATTTGCTTTCTTATATGTGCTGCTCCATTCCTCCTACACAGGGTCAGCAAATAATTCCTGGGCCGACAGTTTCCTGAATCTTCAAATAAAATCTCCTTTGTAGCTTTGCCTTTTAGTAGCTTCTTGAAAGAAATGTTTTGAAAGTGAATTTACTTTCCTTATATCTTGATCAGAACTCACCAACATAAAATGATGCAAAAATCAGTCACTTCTTCCTTACTGTAATTGTATTTCAGCATCACAGAGCGTGTATTTTGGGAGAGTTTAGAATTCCTTTCATGTTACAGATATGGAACCAGAAACTAGGTAGGATAAGGTCTCTGTAAGGTCTCATAGCTACTTAGCAACAAAGTTGGGGTAAGAGCTATTTTGCCTTACTTAGTTACTTTCCTTATATTTCCTTTTGGCCAACTTAAATATAATTATTATATAGACATTAAATTATAAGAGTTTATTGAATTATCAGAAGAAATAATTTCATAGAATATTATATTTGGCTATGAAACAACAAGACTTATTTCCACAAGTTACACAGGAAAATTTATTTCATTACTCAGTGGTTATACTTTATCAGTCTTTTTGAATTGTTATTAAGCTGTAAGTTAATAAAGGTGATGGAAGCTAGAATTATACAAATAGTTTAAGAGACAAGTGTTACCAAAGCATATCTATTATCTTCAGTAATAAGTATATGTGAATTGAACACATTACTTGAGAAGCCATTTGCTCTTTGCTATTAAATGAATTTCTTGGTTTAGAGGGCAATTTTTGGAGAATTAGTGCCCTAATAGAGTGAATTACCTAATTCAGCTGGCTCCTCACTCTCATGATTTATTTTTCCTAGGGAATCTAAACATGGAATGAAGCAAAGAGTTCATAAACAATTGTTCCCCATCCGGTCACTTTCAATTCACTCATACTACTTTATTTTCTTCATAGCACTTGTTACTATCAAAAATTATCTTGTTCGTTTTTTATTTGTTTACTCCCTGGCTCAATATTCAAGAATTGAAGCTTCTGAAAAGGGGACCTTATCGGCCTCATTCCCTGTTGGATCACCAGCACTAATAGCAGTAGCCAGGGCGTAAAGGGAATTTTGTATTTTCTGTTCAGGTTACAAGCAGTTCGGCATGTTGACTAGAATGTCAAAGGGTCACTTGTGAAATTATAAGTTCCATGGGTAGGGAAAAGAGATCTGACCTAGAAAGCATTGTGCTGAGTGCTGACCTCTTCATTATGTTTTACATTACCCCACCCCTGCTTCTGTAGCACCTGTCTGTGTGTTCTAATTATTGGTGTCCTTGTCTTTCTTGCCCATGGAAACTTGAGGGAAAAGACGAAGTCTCATTCCTCTATACATCCCTGGTGCTGAACACAGTGACCAGCAGGGTAAGGGAATGTGTCCATGAGCACACGAATGCTTCTTTCAGCACAAGTGCCTGAGAACATACTGTATGTTTATGCATCACCTGTACAAAAAAAAAAGAAAGAAAAAAAAGAAAAAGAAAGAAAAAGGCGTAGTGGTTGATTGCTAAGTGTTCTCTGCTTGTTTGATGAAACAGCTGCCTTCAGGAAGACAATTTCTGACAGATCGGGCTCTCTTTTTGTTAGTACTGTGTAAGTTCTTTAGACCAGTGCTGTAGAGTAGGAATGGAGTGTAAGCCATGCATCTAATTTCAAATTTTGAATAGCCACATTTAAAAAGCTTTAAGAAAGTGAAATTAATTTAGTAATATATTTTATTTAACTGATCGTATCCAAAATATTATTTCAGCATGAATCAATATGTAAAATCATTGAGCTACTTTGCATTTTTTGGTACTAAATCTTGAAACCTGGGATATATTTTACGTCTCAATTTGGATGCAAAATTTTTGTCGGAAATACTTGATCTGTATGTTCTATCATAAAATTTAAAGTTAGAAAAGTAGATTTGCATATCCAAATTGTTCCAAACACACTTGCATGTGTTCTACTATCTGAATTGAATATCAATTTGAAATTTTAAATAAAAATAAATATTTAGTTCTCCAGTTACACTACTCACTTTTCCCTACCCAGTAGACACATATGGCTAGTGGCTACTGTATTGGCCAGTGCAGAATACAGTAAACTCTGCTTGAATAAACCTTTCTTATGTATATTTTTAAATTTGCAAACATTGAAACCCTCCTTTCACATAAATCACAGCATTCTAGAAGAGTGAGGACTGTCATCGAAGTCATCTAGTCCAGCTGCCTCCTTTTACAAGAGCCGGAGTGGGGAGAGGAAGTGGCATGTGGTTCATCTTCCTCGCACCCCTCTCTTGGTGCCTGCTTTGCACTCAGAACTCTGCCAGGCACTACCAGTCTACTCCTTCAGGTTGAACAGATACCACAGATATGGCTGTGGGGTACGTCTATGTGCAACGGAGGATCTCCTCCTCTCTGCAGGCCAGTGTGGGTGTGATGGAGAGACCTTGGGGAAGCCTCCTCATGTGCCTGCCCCTGTCTGCCCATGTGAGGTCACAGAAGCAGCTGGTGTGCTTGGGACCAGCTGGCTGTCCCTCCAGCACTGAGGTCAAGCCGCATAGTCAGATGGATGGGGAAAGAGGGCAGACTAAGTGCTAAGACAGATGGCACCAAGGCCAGTGCTTGTTATCCAGAGGTGCCACCCCCTACAAGGGGTGTATGAATGGCTACCAGTCCCTCAGTGCTATCCAGTCACAGTTTTTTGTTTTAAGAACTTCATATGTCTCATCTAAAAGTGAAAAATAATATGAGACTGTGAATTAAAAATTTTCCAGGTATGTGTTTTTTATTTTGTCATTTATAACCCTTGACAATTTTAGTGCTTGTTTTCTTTCCTGTTCCTTCACCTTGTTCCAAACCTGCTCTAGGTCTTTTGGTATCATCTAGGATGCCAAAAATTCATGAAATGATCATGGATCCAGATTTCTTTGTGAAGAAGAAATATTTTGACTATCTCTTGTGGCGAGGCTGCTCTGCTTCTGAGAAAACTGAAGTGGGTGCAGCATGAAGTCGTTCTCATTCCATCAAAACACACACTTGCCTCATTACCGGGAACCTGGAGTAGGGTTGAGGAGGCACACCCTCCCTGGCAGCCCTGGAACCATTTCTCTCTTTAGTTTCTTTCTTGCCTCTATCCTCCATTATTCTATATACTCCCCAACTTCTCCTCCTTTATATCACAATGTAATATTTTTTACATGTGCACAGCTCTTGTAACTTCAGAATCTCCGTGTGACAGTGTCATCTCTGTAGAAACCGCATATATTGTTATTGGTTTGTGTGTCAACTCAGCTTAACAAGGTAGAGACACAACATGAAATGACAAGAGAGTAGTCAAGTTATTAATTGACTGAACTAATATTTAGAGCTTGTCTTGAAATCCTGAAAAGGTGTATGTGAAAAATGAGTGGGGAGAAATACTTGGCTGTGTATCTAAAGTCTATAAGGCATCCGAATGAACTGATTTGGCTTTATTTTCAGTGGCATACTTAGTCACAATTGTTTGATTCCTGGACTAGATATTATCTGGAGTATGCCCATTACTCCATATGCCCAATGTGGAAAGATATTTTAATTGTTTTTATAGAAGATTCATGCTCTAATAATGCCCAGGCAGGAAGCACTCTGCATGAAACTTGTTAGTTCTGGTAAGAAATAAAAACAATTATTTGGGACAATTTTTGGTAGAGAGAATCACTTTTTTTTTTTAATACTGTAAGTTCTAGGGTACATGTACACAATGTGCAGGTTTGTTACATATGTATACATGTGCCATGTTGGTGTACTACACCCATTAACTCGTCATTTACATTAGGTATATCTCCTAATGCTATCCCTTCCTCTCCCCCTTCCCACAATAGGACCCGGTGTGTGATGATCCCCTTCCTGTGTCCAAGTGATCTTATTGTTCAATTCCCACCTATGAGTGAGAACATGCAGTATTTGGTTTTCTGTTCTTGTGATAGTTTGCTGAGAATGATGGTTTCCAGCTGCATCCATGTCCCTACAAAGAACACGAACTCATCCTTTTTTATGGCTGCGTAGTATTCCATGGTGTATATGTGCCACATTTTCTTAATCCAGTCTGCCACTGATGGACATTTGGGTTAATTCCAAGTCTTTGCTATTGTGAATAGTGCCACAATAAACATACGTGTGCATGGAGAATCACTTTTTTTGACATAACTTCTAGTAACAAAGCTACAAGCAGGGAAAACACAGAGACTCTTTGGGGCAGTGTGCTCTTTGAGGCAGTGTGGTGGCTTTCAAATTGTGCTCACCAAAGCTGCCTTCTGGAGGAGGGCTGAGAGAGCCAAAGGGCTGGGGCTCCAGGACACCATTTTTTCCATTCAGCCATGCAGCTCCACTGTTACGTTTATTATAAGTGCCTTTCCTGTAGGACGTATTCAAAGAATGATTTCTTCAGCTAATAAAAATTTGAAAGATCACTCTGTACTATATTTTGAAAGCATGGTTTAGGAATTCTTGTACCTGGGACTTTTCTAAAACAAGAACAGATTCTTTCTTTTTTTCTTGAGAAAGGAAAGTCACTTAAGAATTTTTGTCCTCAGAATTTTTTTTCTTTTTTCTTTTTTTTTTTGGAGATGGCGGGGGGATGGAGTCTTGCTCTGTCACCCAGACTGGAGTGCAGTGGTATGATCTCAGCTTACTGCAACCACCACCTCCCGGGTTCAAGTGATTCTCATGCCTCAGCCTCCCGTGTAGCTGGGATTACAGGCGCACACTAACACGCCCAGCTAATTTTTGTATTTTTAGTAAAGATGGGGTTTCACCATGTTGACCAGGTTGGTCTCGAACTCCTGACCTCAAGTGATCTGCCCATCTCAGCCTCCCAAAGTGCTGGGATTACAGACATGAGCCACTGTGCCTGGCCTACCCTCAGCTTTTAATAGCTTTGGCATTCCGTGCATAGGCCACACCCATCCTATGCAAGTCCTGTGTACACATTCTCATGGCCAATGGCAAGTAGTAGGACTGGAGAATTTGCGGTAGAGGGAGGTGACTATCAGCCTGACTGAACCTTGTACTGTTGTTTCCTCTAAGGCCATGTTTGTATCTCATTCTTGTTGCTACCAGGGATCTGCCCCACTTCTCAGACACATGAGCTTGTACCAGTTGGACAATTAGTTGAACTTTAAAGATTCATACTAGTTTTTAATCTCCCAAATGACCATAAGTTCTTGAAATTTAAGTGGAAATTTTTGATAAAAATTTAGTCAAGGAATCAAGTTTTTAAAAGTTCTTTTAATGTTTTCATTTCAGCTATAATAAAGGCTTTGTAGAACTATTGATAAAATTGTCAATTCAGTTTTGGGGGGAACTGGCATTTGTGGCTCTCTTGAGTCAATACCTTTGTTTTGAGAATAAGTACACTAGGAGCTTGAGAGTTACTGGTCAGGATTTCTGCTGTGTAGGGAGAAAGGGATTTAGCCTTTAGTAATATCAGTCAAAACCTAGGACCCACAGGGTTGCCTTTCTTAGTAGAGTCACTGTTCAAAGTTCTACTTTAGAAATGGAAGATAAAAGATCACATTTTCTGTAAAAAAGGTAATCTGAGCAAGCTATACCTTAGGATTTATTTTTGATGGGCTAACCACTTACTGAGATAAGGGAAAATCCAAGGCAACGAGAAAGTCACATTATGGAGTCCTAAAAAGCCATGACACATTCTCAACTTCTGAACATTTGGGGGAAGCAAAGAATTATTCTAGAGAGAAATACATTCAAAAATACCTGTGGCTTATTTTCCTAATTTCCAACTATGGTTTTGCCAATAGAAATCAATGAGAAAGTATAGTGCTTTGCCAGCCTCAGATGGAGAAGTTACTTGATCAAGCACACTTCTAAATATATTTTAAAGTATCATTAGTGTCTATAAAGGAAGAAGGAAAAGATGATCCAGGAGCCAGTGGGAAAGCCGCCAGCTTTTTAGCTGGCTGTTCTCTTCAACTTACTGAAAATAAAAGAAATTGTATGAATGTTTTCAAAAGTATAAGATTATTTATATTGGGAAAATGCATACGAAGGTTTAAGTTTTACTCTGCCCCACCTGTTACTAATACAGTAAAATATCCTAGTAGAAAAATACTCATTTTTACTACAAAGACCCAAATACCTTTCATCTGTTTTCGGATCTGAGTAACATTTCATCCCCCACCTTCATTTTTCCCCATTTTTGTGTAGTTTCATAGGCAACGGAGAAACTTTCCAGAACTCTTTCTTCATGAAGACAGTTTGTGTGGAAGTCAAGCACGTGCGCATCGGTGCACATAGTAGGCCCATGGTAACTCTATGACCAGCGTGGTTTCCCTGTAGTTCGCCTTGAGGCCTCAGAGAAGTGCGCAGTCCATTGGTAGTAGGAATGGGACACCATGGTCCCTGAATTTCCCTTCTCTTTTTCATCACTGCTCCACAGAGACTATAAAGCATCCTACAAGAGGAAAAGAGGAAAGACCTTTGAACCCTAAATCTAGACGTATGGTGAGTAGAAGTTGTTTGCAGGAACTCACGCTTGGCACTCTTTGTGAAGCAGACGAACAACAACTCCAGAGAACCCCAACCAAATTCTCACATGATGCACTGGACCTGGTGCTCTGTCCTTTACACACCTACACAGTCAGCCCTACAAAATCAAATGCACCGGCAGCCAAAGTTATGGACTTTTGTATTGGAAGGGCACATGCTAACAAAGTCTTTTCATCAGAACATCTTTTTTCTTTTTTTTTTCGCTGGCTCATTTTCTTGGTGAAATTGGTGTGTGTGTGTGTGTGTTTTTTACTAGGTCTCATATGTTTTAGGCCCAGCCTGACATTTCAGCAGTTTCTTGCTAAAGCACTTACTGTGAATACTGTGTAGTATGTGTGCAAATGACTCTCGACTTATTAGATTTCTTCCAGTGTGTGCATCCTAGCAGAAGACACCCCAGCAGGCCTTGAGCACTGCTGCTGCTTCACTTCACATAATGAATATTCAGAGGCTGCGGTCATTGAGAACTCAGGTGGCAAAAATAGTAAGGTGATTGAAGCAAACCCTAACATGAAAGCAAATCTGCATTTCACTGACTCAGAAACACTGATTACGGCACAGATTCCTGACCCTCAGACCCCAAGAGAGGAGAGTCCTGGGGAACCTCCTATGAATCAGGCATCTGTTCCATACACCAACATGCTCACATCTTTCTGTATGATGTGTTGTAATCAGCAAGTTGTTTTTAAAAGACAACAAGCCCTTGTGTAGTCTTCTCCACAAAATGCATTTAGGCTGATAGTTTAGCATAAAGGATGCACTGTTGAGACGGGCAATACATGCATTGTTTTCCCCGTAATGCAGTCAGGATCTCCATAGCAAAATGTAGTGTGTTTTTTGAAATCTTATTTTATATATTTTGTCACCATCAGCAGTTGAACTAAAGTAGGAACAGCTCCATTCTATCAGGGGTTAAATTATTCTCTGTGTAGATCTAGTGGTGATGTATAAATTGCAGCCTTTTCTTTTTTTCAAAGGATTCTAAAATAGGTTTTCAGAATTAGTGCTGGATTTTTGCTTCTGCATGTGTGGTGACTCTTGATTCTTCCCCTTTGGAGAAGCATCCTTTGCAGCATTCCCCCTTCGGAGGAATCACTTAGACACTTCCAGCTGGTGGCAGGGGATACAGCCATAATACAGCTTCCTCTGTCCCAGCTGTCTTCTTCACTACGGTAAATGCATTACGATGGCTGCACTCTCCTGTAAAGGTTCAGGTAGAGGAAGGTGTAGGATGAAGTCCGGACATCATCATTTGGGTTTTTAAAAGCTCAGCTTCTCCAGCATCTTTGCATTGTGAATATCTTCCTGCTTCTAGTCAAAGCTTTCTCTCTAGTGATTGGAATGCTGCTGTAAGCCTGATTAAAGGTGCCTGAGGATATCACCTTTTACAAGGAAGCCGTGCCTGCTTGAGAGGATCTTTTTAAATGCATTATGGCTCATGCAGCCTCACAATTAAAGAAAAACAGGGATTTAGAAATCAATGCTGAAGAAGAGCCTGAGAAAAAAAGGAAACACCGCAAACGGTCCCGGGATCGGAAGAAAAAGGTATCTATGTATGCCAGAGCATGTATCTTGCCTGGATTCTTTTTGTTGTAATCTCCCCCTGGCATCTGTTAGAAGCATTAAAGCTTATTTTTACATGCTGGCTAGAGTGTAAATTGGGTGTGTAAACTGGGAACAGATGATAAACCCTATGGCAGACCATGGCCATAGGATGGGCAAGGCAAGAGGGATGGTTTTCTCCTGTGGGGTGATTGCAGGGCTATGCGGAAAGTGTGCTTCACTTTATATAGGCATGGGCATGTTTCCATGACACGGAAAGGTGTTGTGAGGGAGTTACAAAAGTAGTTTCTTCACAGCCCAGTCAAGGTGAAATGCACTGCGGTGACTTAGGTTAGAGGGAGAGGCCAGAGAGCCAGGCTTTGTACTTCTTAGAGGTTTGTCTCATGGAAAAAGAGCTTTTGTGCTGGAACTGTGTCACATGCGTGCGTTTCCCAGGCAGATCTGTGACCTTAGAGATGTAGCACAAAAGTCATTTCCTGCTTTGCTTTTATTTCCTCTTTCTTTCCTTTTGCCTCTTATTCTTATAAGGTGCTTTTTGTCAAGTTGTGCAATGGAAATAAACTGCTAGAAATAACTTTCTTTTGTTAAATAAAGCTGAAATCACAGAGGTTTGGTAATTTGCTGGGTGAGAGTGATTATCCTGAACGCAGGAATTCCAGTGACCTGAAACCTTCAACACTGATCGCTTTAGATCAAAGCATAGGCATTGATGATTCCTTACTGATATTCCAAGGCAGGGGGAAAATAGGAGGAAAATTCTGGGTCAGAGGTGTTTTATTGTAGCCCATGAGTACTTAGAGTGTTTGCCCTTAAATATGACTCCTAGGTGCTGAACCAGGAGTAAGACCCCAAAGCACTTTTCCTCCACGATAATTAATAAAATTGACTAAAACTGTGATCTGAATAGGAAAGGCAGGTCGTAAAGCATTTTTATGTGTCTTTGTGAAAATTCCCAAGGGAAAGATATCCTTAATTTGCTGTGAGCAGTGAGGCATGTGCTTTCTAAATGACATGCAGATTTCATCCCCCACATGGACCCCTCTTCAGGAGTGACCGTGAATATTCCTGGTACTCTTGCCATTTTCTTCAGAGTTAGGATCTATGGAAGACTCTGCCTTTTGTTGCATAGCTGACTTTGAGATTGAAGCTGGAGAGCTGCAGTTGTTTTGCTGCAAGAGGTTAAATATAGTTAGTTCCTACTTTGATATTCTTGTAAATAAACTTCTTGAATATATTTTCATAAAAATACAAACTTGGATTAAGAAATTGTGTGCAGGCGTATTTCAAAGCCTTGCACGGTGGAGTTGTTATGAAATTGCCATACTTTGCTAGATTATGGTCTAATTTTATTGTATGAGGTTTCTCTGTGGGTAGGTCACTACCACTTGCCCCCTCTCCATACATCTCTGCCTACCTCCACCATGATAAACTAGCTTCTAAGAAACATGGAAAAGGTACATATATTTGTATGAAGATATGGTGTCATATTAATATTGACACTATATGTTAGAGTTGTTAGACTAGCTAGGTACAGCAGTTTTCTGTAGCAGTGATGGCAGATCTGTCACCTTTGTCCTGGGCCCCTGTTTGACTTGGAAGCAAGATAGGGAAGGGGTGAAGCAAAGGGAGTTTCTGGACCCACTGAGCTGTAGCAAATGCTTTGTGGACCAAAGTGCTTTGTTACCAGTACAACAGAGTCTGTCCAGTGTAAATCACTTAGCAACCAGAAGGGAACATGGAGAAATATCAATATCTCTATTGTAAATGTGCAAGTGGATTTAAATGTTTTGTTCTCAGGACACTCAGAGTAGATCCTAAAACTGGCGCATGGATAACACTTTCATTGCTGTTGTTCATTCTTAACATAGTAAAATAGGTATATTCTCTAAGATACAGTATATTATGGAAGATACAATATTCATAGTCAAATTATTTCATGAACTACTTGTGATATACAAAGTTAAGACTGAATTATTTTGAAGACACTCTAGATTTCCTTCAGTGGCATAGCCATATATGACCCTCATTCCCTATAAAGTGAATTATTATGACTTTAGGTTTCTTTTTCCCCACCTTTTTCTAAGATCCTAATGAAGGCCTGTGGGCTAGTTTCTTCCATGTTGTACACCTCATGTCAATCAAAAATGCTTCTTCTAAGTATTTTGTGGGATATTATGGGGAAGTTACTCTTGTTCATATGCAGAAATACTGTATAGGATTTTTTTTTTTTTTTGAAATGAAGTCGTGTTCTTGTTGCCCAGGCTGGAGTGCAGTGATATGATCTCAGCTCACTGCAACCCCCGCCTCCTGGGTTCAAACGATTCTCCTGCCTCAGCCTCCTGAGTAGCTGGGATTACAGGCACCCACCAACATGCCTGGATAATTTTTGTACTTTTAGTAGAGATGGAGTTTCGCCATGTTGGCCAGGCTGGTCTCAAACACCTGACCTCAGGTGATCCACCTGCCTCGGCCTCCCAAAGTGCTGGGATTACAGGCGTGAGCCACCGAGCCTGGCAAGGATCTTTTAATTACATAAAAGTAATAGTGGATACTCTCATAAAATCACAAACTAGAAAAGTTTGGGAAAATCCTAAAGAGTATCTAGTTTATAAAATAAGGAATTTGGTCCATGACACTCCTGCAGTTCAGGTTTGAGTAAGGCCAAAGACGAAGCTTTCTTGATTGGGTCTGATGACACAGAATCGTATAGTATGGGATATCACTATATGTTATCATGAACTCATAATGCATATGTAGACTTAACATTGGATTCACATTTCATCAAGTTTTTAAAAACCCAGTGAATTGTACATATGGTCTATTTTGAATATGTTAATCACGAATATGTGATTACCAGTCCAAAAAAAAAAGCAGTACAGAACTTCTAGGAATTTATAATTAGTTGAATTTTAATAAAGATGTGTTTTATTCTTGACATAACTTAAGTAGTGTTAAGAAAAAGAAAATCTTCCTATTTGTTGAAAGGAAATGCATCTAGGTGGACGAACCTTTACTTTTTTATTACTAATTTGTCTGGCTTTAAAAAAAAGTTTGAATGAGTATCTTGTTTAAAAGGTGCTTACCAATGCACTTACAAATGCCCGTTCCCCATACTTTCCCATTGCCCTTCCCTGCCATATCTTTTTCCCTCCACACTTCTCTGCTCATGGGCTGCCTAGGTTGGCAACCAGTGGGAGGCATGCCACTGTAGATAGAGTGCCTTTGGGTGGGTTTTTACTGGATCCCTGCCCTGACTGAGTTGCAGAGAAGAGCTGTTTATATCCCCTGCTGCCAGCAGGGCCCTGGCCCATGGGCGGTGGTCGGTAGGTGGCTCATCCTACCATAAAGCCATGATGGGCCCAAGTCACGTGTGCTCTCCTCATGGTCAGGCTGCAGTCCTTGCACATTCCCTGTCGTTGTTGGCTTCTGGTACCATGTTACCTGCATGTCATGCCCTCTCCCCACATAAACTATAAAATACATTTCAACAGTGAGGGATATTACTGGAATTAACCCTAATTTGTTCCATAAGTGGGTTTTGTTAGTATATGAATATATGCTTGTATATATTTACCAGGTCCTGTGAAAAACTTGAGGTGACCTAATGACATTTATATTAAAAAAGAAAACATTGTGGAGTTTGCTCTCAACAGATAGGTAGGCAGATCTCTCTCTATATATGCACCTGACACAGTGCTAGATACTGGGGTAAAATGACAATTCCATGATTAACATATTTTCTGATTATTGATGTCAAACATACAGTTAGTCAGTGACAGAGCGGGAACAAATATTCATTGCTTCATTCTTGAATTCATGTATTCATTCAGTAAACATTTATTAAGTGACTTCTGTGGATCAGGCATTGCATCAAATGTTGGAGACAAAGCCAATCAAAGCATAGTGGCAACACTACAGTAACGCCCAGAAGAGGCAGGGAGGGAGAAAGATAAGAGCCATTAATCACTTTCCATAAAGAATGAAGAGGGAGCTCCAGGAGTCCACAGAAAGACCCTCACTTGGCTCAGATGCGCTCAGAGGAGAATCTCAGTGAAGCTGAGTGGACTTGGAAGAGGAGTCAGCAAGATAATCAAGCCGAAGAACAGGAATCTCATTCCCAAAGTAATAGAAGTAGGAGAGACTATGAGGCTGTGTGGGAAACAAACAGTATTTTGGAATTCCTGGAGCAAAGGGGACCTGAGTGCGTGGCACGAAAAGTAGGCAGGTGCCAGAGCATAAAGATCTTCCTATGCCATCTTGCATAGTTTGGAAATCATCCTGCTAAAAGCGGGGAGAGACCTTAATGGTGGTGGTAGAAGAGAGGACTGTGAATAGCTTTATGGGGTAGAGCCGTCACTCAAGCATCCGTGTTGTAGCAGCCGCAGGGAGAGCAGTCAGGAAGCTCTGATGGGGATCCAGGCACGAAATGCTGAGTGTGAACCAAGGCGGAGACTATGCCAGTGGAGAGGGGGTGTTGCATACCAAAGATATTTAGGGGAAGACTCAGTAGAACTTGGCAATGGATTGTAGGCAGGATGTGAGAGAGAGATCGGATTCTAGGATAACTGCCAAGTTCCTGGCTTGAAGGGGGAAGAGGAAGAATTAAATGTCCTGGATTCATGTCTTTTCTCCCAGGCCATTTATTGACCACTTATTCTGCAGTAGGTAGGGTGTTACATTGCTTTATAGGTAGAGATTCATTTCATCTTCCTAATAGCCCTGTGAGAAGAGAAAGTATTTTTTTTTATTATCCCCATCTTACAGACAAGGAGACTGAGGCTGAGCCTTGAAGCTAGTTGCCCAAAGTTTTCACCCTAGTCAGAGAGTGGTAGAGCTAGGATTCCAATTGGGGCAGTCTAACTCTCTAGCTTGCGCTCTTAACTACTATGCCATACAAGGTGTGTAGTATGTGACATTAATATTTTCACAGCTACACATCAAAGTGGGCTTGTTTCAGAAAATCTTCTAAGTGATAAGCTATT